AGTTGCCCCGTCACCATCACACCAAACAGGAAATCTTCTTTCTTCTGGTACTAGTTTAAAGTAGGTCCCTTTCTCCTGAAAGTAGAGAGTCCTCATACAAAAAAAAAAAAATTCTAATGTTCACTGAAATTTCACATCTTTATATTATTTCTATTTTATCCCAAATAAGCGAATATTCCGCGAGGGTAGGTCATCTTTTACCCATTTTAAGTCGGAGAGAACACAACACGGGCTGCCAACATCAGCATTTCCGTTCCCAGGGCCCCACATGCCAGGCACCTCCATTTACCCTGGGAGCCCTGAGGACATAAAAACGACTGATTCTATCACATCTTTTTTTCTTCTTTCTGTACTCGAATGAAATGCAATGAAAGGCATCTGTGAATTCCCACTGCTCAGTCGCACCTCTAGCTCTGAGCAGAGCGGGGATTCTGGTGCAAAGCATTATATCCAGGAAGTCCTGAAGGAGGGTAGACCTGGGGTCCCCCTGAAGGAAAGGGATGTTGCCTTGGATAACTGCACACTGTCACCAAAGAGCAACTGTGGAAAGAGACATCTTGCCAAAGAAAGGACTCAGGAAAACAGAGATTCTGGCACTTCCAGAGGAGCCGGCCGCTCTTTCGAGTGGTTTAACACCTGTCCTCTGCCGTGACCATTTGTCTTTCAACACCTCACATTTTTATTGTGCTTGCTTTTTGTCATCATGGATGTTGTTTGAGACAAGGGACAAAGAAACTAATCCAGTGCTGGCCACTTTTCACTCCAAGAAGGAAATTCTAAGCAAGCAGGGTAAAACCGGCTATGCAAGAATATAAGGAAAAGTTAACTTTACTTTTCTACCAAGGAACAGATGTAATTAGAGCCCTGAAATGTTCCCCCACAGGGTATGAGCAGGCAAATACGCCAACACGTTGATGGGATAAAACAGAACTTTCTACTGTGCCAATTGCTCCTTTCTCCAGAACACAAGCCATTTTTATGAGTGAAATTAGAAAAAAAGAGAGAGAGAGAGAAAAGCAACAAAAGCGAGCGAGGTAAGGTCACCCTCCAGATTCCCCTGGGGAACCTCACAGACACCAGCAGACCCCTTCCCCATGACAGAGCGCAGCTGCACAGCTACTCCTTACAAGGAAAAAGAGGTGAGTCCACACAAAGATTGTAAAAGCTGGGCATAAAAATAATCTCAACAATTTTTAAAGTGTTTATTGGTAGCCCTGGGTAAACTAGGTGAGAAAGATAACTGTATTCAAACCCTATTTCAACAAATCTCATTAAAACAAATGCGCCATCCGGACACTGCCCAGACTTCCCTGATGAGTCAGTGATAAATGGACCAGACTTTCTTTCTTGATCGCCTACTATGTGCCCTGCAAGGACCCATGTCACACAAGTTTCAAATATCCTGTCAAGACAACCAAAGTCTTGGATACTGACACATGGTTTTGGTGGCTTTCCTACTTCTTTACCTTCTGCCAATGCATCCTACCAAGAGGAATACAGTTTTGACACCCCGAAAGATACCTTTGAGGGAATACTGATTATTTTAAACTTATAAGGTTATGTTGAAGTAACAAAAGCCTCAAGAAGAACCTCTTACTCATCGCCCCCCTTTCCTTGCCTAAAGGAATTCAAGTAAAAACCTGCTTAAAGAAAGGGAGCTGTCCCTTCGCGTAATATGATCTACGTGTGGCAGACAGAGCAGAATCTGCAAAGTCTGTCCCATTGTTTCCGCGTGGCCTGGCAAAACTTTGTTTACCAAATGTGTGTTCCTTCTCACCCCTCTGTGAGCTGCCTGCCTTCCCTCTGAAGTCCAAACCACTCTCCCCTCTCCCCTTCTCCTTAGCTCAGGACGGCATACGAGCCTCAGCTGCCCGCTTTGTCTTCTGGTCCCACCTTCTCATGGAACCCCCATATGGACATACATAATAAGTTTGATTATTTTCTCCTGTTAACCCATCTCATGTTAATTTGATTATTAAACCAGCCAGAACCTAGAAGGGTAGAGGCAAAATTTTTTTTCCTCCCCTACACTGCTCGCCCTTGAAGGCCCACCAAATTATTGCCTCCTCCACGGAGCTCTGACCTTGCACCCACCCTGACCCCTAGCAGAAGTAATTTCTCTCCTTGGGAACTCCCACTGTCTGCATTTTAAGGGACATGCTATGTATAGCTTTACCGTCATTACGGCGTCCTGGGCTATCCCCCGTCCTGGACCGCACACTCCCGGGAGCGAACGTGCTGCGGATGGGCTCAGCGTGTTGCTCACTCCCTGACATCCCGTCATGCCTCGCCATGCAGTTCTCAGGCCTGAGCATCATGTGGGCGCTTACTGAACACAGAGTGTCTCCGGTTCAAACCCAGACCGACCCAATCAGAATGCACGTTGAGCACATTACCAGGCGACTCAGGTACGCATTAAAGTTTGAGAAGCACTGTTATATACAATGATGCTCAACAGGTACTCTTTACATAACAAGCCAACTTCTGCACAAAACCGGCCCCCTCAACCACCCCCTGCGGAGGGCTGCAGCGGGGCTGAGGAACATCCCCACCTCGAGGCGGCGGGAGTGCTTCCCCCTGGCTCTCTGTCTAGCTTTGCCAGGCACGGTCTCTGTGCATTTAGGCAGCAAGCCCTTCACTTGTTCACTCGTGAAACATGACCGAATGCACGCCCACCACGTGCCGGGCACTCTGCAAATGTCACAAGAACACTCACCTCTCACCACACTGAACCAGGTAGGGAGGCAGGTTTGGAAAGTGGACATAGAAAGAGGGTGGTGGGTAACTCAATGTGTTAACTGGCTACCAAGGTCCTTGTCCACTCCAAAAACTCCTGGGGGATTGAGAGGGACAAACCCACGACCGGCCCCCACCGCCAGGACACCCCCAGCTGCGGCACCACCCGCTCGATTCCCAGACAGAAATGCCCTGCACAGTGTCGCGCTCAGACGTCAGCGTGCACCCCATTCCCCGGGAAGACCTGCGAAACATGATACCCCCTCACCTTCAGACTCAGCGGACAGTGATTACAAACAAGGAGAATTACAGAAGCACTACATAAAGATACGTTTATTCTTTTAGCTTCCCTGATGGGGAATATATCCTATCCAACCTCATCCTACCCTTCGGTGTTTCAGAGACATTTGGAGAAAAGACGAAAAAGGTGAGGCCTCCATTTCACAAAGCCCGCTGAGAGAAGCCCGTCCAAAGAGTCAGCAAGTCTCGATCAGACAAAGAGGGCCTGGCCCTGGCCAGGTAGCTCAGCTGGTCAGAGCATCATCCTGTTACACGGCAGAGGTGCAGTTCAACCTCCAGTCAGGGCACACGCAGGAAGCAGCCGTCGTGCGCGTAAAGGGGCGGAACAACAAATCCGTCTCCCTCTCCCCCTCTCTCTTTCTCTCCACCCCCCTGCCCCTTTCCTCTCTCTCTCTCGAAAAATATCAATTTTAAAAAATTAAAAATAAAAAGAAGACCTGGTTTCCCACCTGTGTTGTAACCTTGTGTGTTACAGCAAGTGCTGTGTTGTTAAAGGAAAAAAAAAAACCCCAAGACTCAGCCCACGGCAGAGAAAAATAAATTTGTGTAGTAGTGGAAAGCTTTAAAACTAGGTTTGATTGTCTGTCACAGACAGAAGTCAGCAGGCGCACCCGGCCCAGGAGGAGCTCGCTTGCTTTCTGTCCACAGCTGCGCTGGGGTTGGGGGGTACCTGCCCCTGCCCAGACTTGCCTCCTCTCACACACCCCATCCCCTACCTACCTCATCATGAAATCAAGACGGCCGGTAGAAAGAGGTGGGAGAGTTCACGGAGTTCCACCTCCAGTCCCAAACTCCTCTCCTTCCTTCCCCTCCCCACCCCCCTGTCACTTTGTAATGGGGGACAGGCAACAAGAACACCAGACAGCATCGGCTCTGGGCATTCCTTAGAACCGGATTTGCAAGCTTCTCTTGGAAATCACTCACCCCTTTTCCGTAGCGCCCCAATTCCAACGGTCCATGAAGTGTTCATCGGAAATACCAGAATAGGGCTCAGTTAGGTGGAAGGCCCCAACCTCCAGCCTAACCAACTTCCAGAACAACCCTGAAGCCTACATTCTATGTCTAGACCAAGCGTGGGCGTGCTGAACTTGGTTATCACCAGGAACATCTGTCAAGTTCGTAGCGTCTGGGGGAACCGGGCAGTTATTTTAGCTCTCTGTTCCCCGCATCCCGCAGAAACGGGTGCGAAATCTTACAATTGGCATCCAAAGTCCTTAATTAAGATTCTTCCCAGGCCAAGCACGCCGGAAATCCTTCCTGTGACACAGCCCGCCCTGCGTCCATTCGGCCACCACGTCTGCCCTCGTCTGCGTCTGGCCCAATTTCTGTTTTGGTCCCTCACTGTCGCTGTGTCTTTCTGGCTTCTGACCACCTCCTCCACCTCCTAGTCTCACGGTGCTACCGCCCCTTCCGAGCTTCCGTATTTGGGGACCTCGCCTTGGGACTCCGACAGACCTGGCCCCCGCAGCACGGCCTGGCGCCTTCCTCCCATCCCACTTCCTGTCCCTGGTCCTGGCGAATGTGAAGTCACAAAGCGCAGTGAGGACTTCCGTTCAGAGGCATCGCCGGGTCAGAGACTGAGTCTGCCTTGTGTTCCTCTTCCTGTCACCTTGCCCAGCACATAATAGGTGTTCAACAAATACGTTCTGATGAATAATTATAAACATATCACACCTTAGGCAGCCAGAGGATGATGGGTCAATATAACTTTTATGGCTCAAGTACTTCGTGTTTCCAAACAATGAAGTTATATTTATAACCCAAAGGATTCATGCTCATAAAACATTTTGAAATCCACAAAATAATAGTGCTGTAAAATAGTCCAGTGTCACCGAGTGGAGAGGCCAGAGGACGTGACCACACAATTCGTTTGGGGTGTAGGGGATGGATCGGGTCAAGGGGGGATAGGGAATGGGATGATGTGGGGAAAAGAAGAAATATTCGATGAACAAAAGCAAACTCACCCTTATCATAATCCTCATCCTCAACTGCTTTTTCTTGGAGTTTCTGAAGCTTTAATCTTAAGGAGTTTACCTATGTTGTTTTGGAAGAGGAAAAAAAGAAAATCAAATTACAATAGTACTCAAGCAAACTTATTTTAGCAAAGCCAAGAGCATTTAGAAATGATTTCACAACTGAACTTCATTCTCCTTTGAAAAAGGAAGCACAAATGTACATTTTTCCAATGCCAGATGAATTAGTTTCTCCCACCATAAAAAAGTTATATAAAGAAGAAGTGTAATTTGAGCATAAAATCCACAGTTAAAATTTGAAACAAAAACATCACACTGTACCCTTATTTATCTACATGAAAAATGCATAACAGAAAATAATACAAACTTCCTGACCTAACCAAACAGCCTCAGCTCTAAAAAATCAGATTAAAATCAGGAAGGTAAATGCACCACAACTGGAAGAGAAACCAAGAGAAGAAGCATGAACTTCCACTCAGCAGCCGGAGCTGCAGGCTCAGTGGGAACAAGAGCAAGGACTTTGCAAAGTAGGGCGTCCTGTGGCTCAGAGACTTTCCATTGTCTCATTTAACCCACAACAGATGCAACGATCCCATCATTTGTCGGAGAATTACTGAAGTTTATTTGTAATTATAGTCAAGCCTCGATTCTCGAACATCTTGGTTCTTGAACGATTTGGTTCTCGACCAAGTTCTTCATAGGAAAAAAAAAATCTCAGCTATCTAACAAAACTTGGGGTCTTGATTCTTTACCTGACAACCCTGTCATGCTGGTACCTATACGATCAGTCGCGAGTCTCTCAGGCAACAAACAAAGGAGATTTGGTTTCCCAACAAATCGCTTCTCCAACAGTTTTCCAGAACAAATTAAGTTCCAGAACCGAGGTTCCACTGTATTTTTCCTCTCAACAGGAGGCCCAGGGATTTTTTTTTTTTTTTTTTTTTTTGGAGATGGACTGTTGGCCTATCAATGAATGGATTGGGGCTTTGTTCCTGAAGAACACCTTCCTCCCATCCTTGGCTTGGCGTGCACCTACATCTCCTTCAACACCTAGCTCAGGTGTCACCCCTCCAGCCTGGGCTAAATGTCCTTCCTTTATAGTGCCACTGTAACCTGCACTTGCTTCTATTCATGTGACCCGTTTAACAAATATTTACTGACTGCCTCTTAGGTGTCAAACTGTTGGAGGCACTGAGATACAGCAAGAAATTCTTAGCCCTCTACACTTACATTCTTGTGTAGGAAAACAAAAAAATAAAGGGAATTCCTACGTTTTATGGAGCCTTAATACGTTATTCATGCTATAAAAGAAGAAAAAGTTAGACCCAAGTGAGGGGCTCAGGAACGCTGGTAGGCAGTCAGGCTGCAATTTTAAATAGACTCTCGTGGAGAAGGTGACAAAGGAGCAAAGATTGAAAAGCGGTCAGGGCATCCCCCTGAGGCTCCCTGGGAGGAAAATACTCCCTCGGAGAGCAAAGCCAGTGCCAAGGCAAATCAAAAGCAAGAAGGTCCTCGGGTCTTGGGAAGAGCGATTAAAGGGGAAACGGTGGGGGATGAGGTCAGGGAGGTGATGAGAAACGCATCACGAAGAGACATGAAGAGCATCTAAAGCTTCTAGTTTTACTCTGCAGGTCACAGGGGGCTGCCAGAGGGTTCTGAGCGCGAGAGCACAAGACCTGATTTACAATTGAACAACTGTCCCCTGACTGCTGTGCGCAGGGGCCGAAGGAGGGACGCAGGGGCTACGGAAATGACCCGGGAGGGACAAGACGGTGGCGCAGACCACAGTGAACACAGAGAAGATGGTGAGAGGGGTGCTTCCGGACAGGTGCGGGAAAGGGCCGGGCGAAGGTAAAACCAGCAGGATTCGCAGGCTGATCACCCGTGGGAGTGAGGACGGGTCAGGACGATGCCAGGGTTTTGGTCTGAGCTGCTGGAAGAGTGGAGTTGCAAGAAATTATCTTGGTACTTACCGCACCCTGTCGGAGCTACCGTTTTATCTTCATTTGTGTGGTTTTGTTCTGTTTTGTCTGTGCACTCCGTTCACCCCGGAGCATCTGGAGGACAAGACGTATTTTGCCGTGTATGATGCGCACTTTTTGCCCACATTTTTTAGGGAAAAATAAGGGGGCACATGATACATGGGTAGTGCCTGAAATACCTTGCATCTGTTCTTGTGTTTTGTAATTATTTGTTATATAAAATTTAAAATTTCTTGTACCACAATGGGTTCAAAAATAAATGCCAAAATTCATTGATCGTACAAAAACCAAGTATCTAAATATAAATAAATAAGTAATTGAATTAAAAACTTAAAACGAAAGGTTTTTTTTTTCCCCTGGAAGCTTGGGCCAAAAACATAGGTGTGCATTATACATGGCAAAATACGGTATTCTGTGTGCCTGTAGAAATGGCAGCGCGCACGATGGTTTGGGTCTTCAGTGCTCTGGACACACAGGGGGATTACACTCCCTTCCCCTCTGGTTAATGAGTGTGTAGGGAAGGGACAGAGGCCGCTTCTGCACTGAAGCATTTCATTGCTCTGGCAGGGTCCCTTAGTGTCCTCCACCTTGACTCAGTGACTGCGGGGCCATCTGATCAGAGAATGCAGCCTGGGGTCCTGAGTGGCTCCGTGGAGCAGAGCCCCCAACCACGTCTGTGGAACATGGAGCATAAGCAAGAAACGTGGTTTTGTGATGTGGAACCTCTGATACTATGTTGCCGTCTGTTACCCATGCATTCTAACTAACACAGCCTCCAAAGCCAGGCACAAGGCATTGGGGGGTTGTCCGCAAAGGCCTTCTGAATGAATGAAGGAATGAGCGCGTTAACTGCCTTATCCTTGAAGTGCTCCGTACGACAAGTGCACGTTTCACAGTAACTTGGTCCTATATATATTAGTGATAGAGAACAGACTGCGTTCCCATCATCCCACCCAAACGATGGCTCCCGTAAACACTTGCAGAGCTGGAGCAGAAGAGCCGCAGGAAGGAAGGGCAAAGAAAACTTCACTTGCAGCCAACGCCCACCTCACCTTCTCCCTCCCGTCCACCTGCCCCTGCGGGGCCCTGAATTGACGCCCTGGGATTTGTGTGACTGTCCATCTCTGCTGGAGGCACAGCCACAGAGGCGCGTGGCTTACCCAGTGACTTGGCCCCTGGAGGGCAGGCTGTTCCTCCCCTTCTCCTCCAGCCGCTGCGCCCCAAGGAGGGGCAGGCTTGTGGGGCTCTGCCCACTCCCTCCTCCGCACACCCGGTTAGCATTTCCTTTTATCCTAATTTCCTCAGGCCCACCCCAGCGCTGGCAATGCCCCTGGGTGGCTATTTTTCAACAGCACAAAGTACACAGTCGTGGTAGTCAGGTTCTAGAAAGCCACCAGGAACGCTCCATTAGCAAACACTGAGTCATCGCTCCCAGGGAAAATACCGGGTTAGGCTCCCAAGAGCCTCTGGTCACAACATTTTTGTCAACTGATCATATAAAACACATGACCGTGTTGCAGGTGTGTTTCGGTTTAGAGATGTTTTATTGACTGTGTATAGCTGACTCATTAGCGCTAAACTCACGGCCAACTGCGTGCCAACTACACGCGAACGATGCTCCTCTAACGCGCGTGTTCTCCACATCGCAGCCCATCTGCACTTAGGAGCAGGGACAGCGCTGAGCCCCGCGTGTGGCGGCCTGTTCAGCAGTGAAATTGCCAACAAAACACACAAAACATGTGAAAAAAAGGAGTACGAAACAGACCACAGATAGGACACTTGTTTACGGGTTGAGAGCTGAAACGAGGAGGCTGAAGGTCACCTTGCGCGACCTCACCTGGGAACACGCACATCCAGCGACTCACCTTGTTAGCCATTCTGCGCATGTCCACAAGTGACCGGGAAAGCGCTTCCTTCTGTGCACGTGCTCCCAGGACCGGGAGAGTATTTTGAGCACAAGCTTTGAAGTTACTGATAAATTTGAGCAAGTGAGAGGATTTGCAAATATAGAAAGCGCAAACGCGGAGGATCGCTATTTTAAAAGAAGCTAAAATTCCAATTCCTGAGATTTGCGTTTTTACTTAAGGAGAAAAGAGAGGGGAGTTAAGTAATATTCTAATAGTCTAAGGAATTCGAGTGTAATATCTAAAAGGCCCCCAAATACTAGAATCCCCATTTTTCAAAGGGTCTTTTTGAAGCGCCTTAGCGAGCCCCTCTCCCCAGTTCTGAGCGCCTGCCCAGCAGCCCCCTCCTCACGGACAACTTGGGGCCCTGCGGGCAACCCCCGTCATGGACGACCCCGGCCACCAGGGGCCTCCTCCCCCTCCCAAGGTCTGCGCCCCGGACCGAGTTCTCTCCATCATGCCCTCTGCGCCGAACAAGCTCAACTCCCTTCCACACCACAGACACCCAATCACTGAAAACAGCATCGTGTTGTCCCTCATCCAGGTATTAGATTATCACAAACAAAGGTACTCAAACTACAGATAAATTGTGTCCCAATCCTACCGTTTGACATTCAGCTGGCGGCTGAGGGTGGGTTGGGGCGGCGGGGGTGGGGGGAGGGTCAGTTTGTGGGACTTTGACCTGTAGGACATGATGCTACCTATCCCCAGGTAAACAGTGTCAGCACTGAATTTAATCATAGGACACCCAGCCGGTGCTGGAGACCCCCCCCCCCGACACCGTAACTGGTGACCAGGACTTCCTCCATGCCTTTGTCCCTTGTGTGTCTGCCTCTCAGATTCTTATGCTTTGATAGGCAATCTAAGAAAGTCTGCCAATTAGAATCTGTGGCCCACCTTATCGAGATTACTTACTTCACTAAACACAAAAATGAATCGCACACCTGCTGAGGCTCAGGAAGCATGCTGGGCAACAAGCATCCAAAAATGTCCGAGAGAAGTGACCTGTAGTTACAGAGCTCGTGGTGCAGCATGAAATTTGGACCCACAAACAAATTTTTGTTGGAGGTGGTGAATGCCATAATGAGGCATGGCCCACGTGCCTTGGAACCAGAATGGAAGGAAGGATTCATGTGGTCTAGAAGTGGGAGGAAACACCTTACAAGGAGTGGCTTTGGAGCCACACGAGAAGGAGCCTGGCAAGTGGGAAAGCACAGGAAGGAAATTCCAGGCAGAGGGAAAACTGTGAGCAAAGGCCCGAGGTACCGCTGTCCCTGGCGCCTTGAGGAACAGGAAGCCGCGCCAGATGGCCGAGCAGCAGGGGAGGCACGGGGTCGGCTGCAGGGGGCTGAGGAAGGTCTCCACTGTCGAGGTAAGGAACCTGAATGCTCTATCCCGTGGCGAAAGGAGCCACCGAAGGTTTTAAGCCGAGGGATAACACTGTCCCACCGCTGCTTGGGAAGATTACTCCGCTGACCATGCGGAGGATGAACTGCAGGAAGGCAAATTCGTCAAGGCTCTCTTGCAAAACCACGTGAAAGATAGCAAGGATCTGAACCAGGGCCGTGTCGTGGCCGTGGGAGCGGGTCAGCTGCAGAACGAAGAGGCTTAGGGATGCCGTGGGGGGGCGGGGGCTGCGAATGGGTACGCTTCCTCTGAGGAGCTGGAAAGGTAGATTCTATTATTTCAAACCCACAAATATTTATTGAGAGGGACCCTTTAGAACAGGTTTGGTGGGGGAGACAATGGCGTCTGTTTTCGACGTGTCTAACTCAAGGATTCCACGCATTACCTGGAAATAGAGGCCTGCACGTCTGGCCTGGCTTTGCTATGTCCCTGGGTTACAGATCGAACCGCTGGGCTGAGGCCCCTAAAGGCCAGATCACCAGGCCACTGGTAAAGAATTGAAAGAAAATGAGGCACAATGGCTGGGAAATGAGCGTGACCTTCACATTTTCAGGTCCTTCTACCAAATGCCTGAGGAGCGGGTGCCCTATGTCCCTGCTCGCATGTACGCATGTAGACACGCACACACGTACACATACACAAACACATGCCCCAGAAGGAAAGCACAGTCTCCCACCAGGATGAGCCGCGCGACCCCGCGGCTCAGCCGCAGAGCACCTCTGCCTGGGTTTTTCCGGGACCTTGGGGACGGAACCGCCCCGCCGGCTCGCAGTGGCCCCCCGCTCGCAGACCGCTGGTGGACGGCACCAGCGCCAGCACAGTGCTTGGACTTACAAGTAGACAGTCTATCCTAATTTCCAAAGCACTAACATTCTCTTCCGAGCCACAAAACGATCCTGCGCAGCGGTATCATCTATAAATAAGGGGCCGAGAGGCTTAATGGCCAGAAACGGGCTCTGCAGGCGGATCCCGCCCGACACAGGCATCACGGCTTCGCGCTCGGCCCCACCCCGCCAGCTCCGTCCTGCTCCCTGGCCTGTTTCCCTCTCTGAAGCAGAGCTGCGGTGCGAGAGCCACGCATCCGTCACCTGGGCCAGGAACGGCAGGGGAGCCCGTGGCCCAGCAGAGAGCACAGCTCCGTGACAGGGAAGATGAAACGAGAACTGATTTGCGTGCAAACGGAAGGAGAAACCGAAGCGCGGCAGCGTCTTTCTGCGCTGGCCACTGAGCAGCTCCGGGGGAAGTCGGTCACCCCCGGGGCCACTCGTTCCTGCCCTCTGCCCAGAGCTAATCTGAGCTTGCGACCCTCGTGCGGCCAGGCGGCCGGGCAGACACCGACCTCCAGCTGCCTGCGGTTGCTGAGCAGGCAGTCCAGCAGCAGGGGCTCGCACCTCCGGAGCAGCGGGTCCCAGGGGAGAGCAGCCCCCTCGAAGCCTGAGGGGTCCGGGGAGCAGCAGGAGACAGCGCCTGCGTCCAAGACAGAAAGCAGCTCACCCTCCAGCCCGGGGCTGCCCGCTGCGGCCCGGGCAGAGTCTGCAGCCTTGAGATCGAAGCGGGGAGAGAAAAGTCTAGGGTCCTCGCGGGGCCTGTCCAAGCTGGCAGCCTTGGCTTCCGCGTTCTCGGCCTCTCTGAATGGCGGGCAGCCTTCGGCTTCTCCGCGTTCCCCGGCAGCGCTGAGTGAGAGCTGGATGAAGCTGAAGCTGGAGGTGAAGGCTGCCTGAGAGCCGGCGGGGGCTGAGGGGGCCTTGGGGCCACTTCCGAGGCTGCAGCTGCTGCCACTGACCTCCTCTGGGGACAGACAGCCTTCGGTCCAGGTGCCCCTTGCTCCTTCACTGCAGGCGGCATTCTGATGAGGGCCCGGGGCCTCAGAACTGTCCATGGGTGGGAGCTCCCCCTGACCCCCAGGGCCGCACCACCTGGCCAGCCTGCTGGACACTTTGGCGCCAGCTCTGAACTGAATCCCACAGAATCCTGGGGTCCCTCTCGCTGGGGCCAGGCCTAGGCTGCGGCGGTCCACACAGGTTCCAGCTGAGGCTGCTGTGCTCCTGGGAAGAAGGCTCCCAACCAAGGGGCCTCGCCACTGGCCTCCGGGGTCAAGGCCACACCGTCCAGCCCTGGGCTCAGAGTGGTGGGACTCCTCACTACATGCTCCTCCCTGGGCCCGGAATGGGGTGCCCGCGGCGGGGGCGAGGAACCTGATCTGGGGCCCAGCTTCGCTTCTCATGTAGCCGGGTTTCCGTGCCAGCCGCCTCCTCCGAAAAGACACCGCAGGTGGCAAGCAATCCTGGTTGCCTGGGAAGACAGAAAACAGCACATTACACACGCGTGCTCACAGGCTCGGCAGGAGCTGTGTTTGCAGAACATCCCTAGGTTTAGAGGTCATCGCTGGGTGCATCTGAGATGCTGGCTCAGGGGTAAGGGGTCACCCCGGTCCCAAAATTCTGATGATCCCGGGGAAGCGTCTGCTTGTCTGTGTAGAAACAACACGGTGTCTCAGCTCCTCTGTGCGGCAGAGCAGCTGGCGTGGCAGTGAGCCGTGCCAACACGCCAGCTTGCACACAGGAGCCACAACCTCGGCAGCTCCTCTGACCCTCCAGCAGCCCGCCCGTCGGCCTTGAAGGCGCGTCAGCACTTCCGTCCCGGAGTCAGCCCAGAGAGCAAATCGCCGACGCCGAACGCCAGCGTGCTCCTCAAGACGAGGCCGGTCGCTTAGTCTAGCTACTCGGTGAGCAGCGTGTGAGTTTTCATTATCGGGGCTCTCCTTGTCCCTGCACGCCGGGGGACCACGGATGGCTGGCTGTGACATTACTTATGCCATCGGTTCATCTCACACAGCAGATGACAGAAGCCCTGCTTGATGTGTCCCCAACCAGGGGCCGTGCTCCCTCCCAGCTATGCAACAAAAACACAGAAAAACACAAAGTGCTAACACCTCAAGGAAGCAGGATGCAGGGTAGATGGCAGTTGACAGAGCAACTCTGGCACCGCACTGCCAGGTTCAAACCCTGGCTGTGTGACCTTCCGCCAGGTCCTGCACCTCTCTGTGCCTCGGTTGGCTTATCAGCACAAAGGAGAGAGCAGCAGGGCCTCTCTCATCGGGTGGCTGCGAGCATTAAACTAAGTGAGTTACGGTAGGCTGCCCGCTGAGAACAGCGCCGGGCACACGTCACAGGTGCGATCGAAGTGGCAGTTGTTTTTACATTGCATAGCACCTGGGTCCTCACAATGTGTTTTCATCCGCACTGATTTCTTTTGCTTCCCACCAAAATCGCCTGAATCAACCAAACCAGGAAAATAACTTCCCTTTTGTAGTTAAGGAAACTGAGGCTCAGAGAAACTGACATTCCGGAAACACCCGCCAGTGGCCGAGTGACCAGTCTCCTGAGTGCACGGGGTGCTCTCCCGGGGGGCCCTGCCGCACCTGGCGTCAGATGAGACGGGAGGCACGAAAGGAAGCCCAGGCGGCACTGACTGCGGCTGTAGGCGAAGCACGGCCCGGGGCAAGCAGTGCAACAAGGCCTCGTTCCGGCCCCGCATCTCGCCCTGCCTGCCCAAGCACAGCTGCTCCCATGTGTGACTGACACAGTGCTAGGCGTTCAGGGTCGCACTGGGTTACAATCGGGCACACACCAGTCTCTGGGGAATGGGGGCCATTGATAATCCCCAGGGAAATAAGCCCCATGACCATGCACCACCTGTTCCCTGAACTGGAGCATCCGAGGACAAGAGAGCCCCAGACGTGTTCAGCCACTGGCCTGTTCTTGCCAAGTGGGCATGCCAACTGCAGGGGCCCTGGGAAGGGCGGATGCTACCTTGCACACGAGAGTTCTGGAAGCCTGCCGCGACAGATGGACTGAAGCAAGGGCTAAGACTGGGCAGGAGGGAAGGTCAGGATGAAACCAGGGAGGAGGCATCGACACTAAACCCCAGGAGCGGGGCACCATTTTCATTTCATAAATAATGAAATTACAGTTCAGAAGGTTTTCATTTTCCCCAGAACTCCCGGGTCATAGATTCCCAACACATGTTTTGCTCATTACTGAATAATAAACCAGCACAATGCCTTGCATTTAAGTTGCTTGATGAATGATGCATGAACGCGTGGATGCTTGGATGGACGGCTGGATGGAAGGGAGGTAGAAAGGAGGGAGGGAGCGGGGGAGGGAGGATGGACTGAGGCCTGATTCCAGATCGCATGCTTTTTCTATGTACTTTGCCTCCAAGTAGATCACTCAGGATGTCACCTTGAAGTAAGACGTCAGAGGAAAGTTGTATTTTTCTTTCTTCTTCAGGAAAAAGGCCACAAAAAGTTGGAATCAATAGGAAAGGACATGGTGAAAATGTACAGAAGGAATCATTAACAGGCCAAGTTGGACCACCCATTAGAATGGCTACTAGCAAAACAAAACCAAACAAAAACGGTCTATCCACACAATGGACTATTCTTCAGCCTGAAAAAGGAAGGAAAATCTGACACATCCTCCAACACCACGTGGATGGCACTTGAGGACATCATGCTAAGTAACCTGAGCCAGTCACCAAAGGACAGACACTGTGTGGTTCCACTCTTACGAGGTCCCTACGGGAGTCAGGTTCACAGGGACGGGGCGGGTGCCGGGGGCGGGAGGTGGGCAGGGAAGTATGGGTGGGCGGGCAGATGGGGGTGGGGGACCGACAGGGGGAATTATTGCTGCCTGGGGAAGGAGCGTCAGTGTGGGAAGATGAGAAAGTTCTAGAAGTGGATGGTGGTGAGGGTTGCACAACAATGCGAATGTCCTTAATGCCACCCAACTCTACACTTAGAAATGGTTAAGAGAGTAAATACTGGGTTATATGGATTTGACCATAAAACTCCTTTGAAATTTTAATAGACCCAATTGGGTCACCACGCTGTCTAGTCCAAAGGAGACCCCACCGTTTTCCTCAAGGGTTTTACCACCTGAGGACGTCCCCGGCATGTCAGATCCCGACCACAGCAACAATCTGCACCGGGCGGGGGAGCTCAGGAGGGGCCACGGCGGACCGAGAATGACTAACTCTCCCAGGGCCTATAAAACTGGCAAATAATTTCTATTTTTTTAAGCTTTTTATTTATTTACTTTTAGACAGAGGGGAAGGGAGAATGAGGGAGAGAAACATCGATGTGTGGTTGCCTCTCATGCGCCCCCCACTGGGGACCTGGCCTGCAACCCAGGCATGTGCCCTGATTGGGAATCGAACCAGCAGCTCTTTGGTTCGCAGGCCGGCGCTCAAACCACTGAGCCACACCAGCCAGGACAGAAAAATTTTTATTTTTTGAGGAAGCTAATGGTGTCCTTTCCAACCAGAATCAATCACTTCCATATCCTACCCGAAACCCTACCTGGTGGATGTGTTTAAAATCCAAGCCCTGCCCTGGCGCCCTGCAGTAAGAAAGGGCTACGGTGCAGGCAGACCAGGGAGTGGACGATGCCTTCCTGACACTGAACTGCTCAGGGGCAGGAAGGAGGCGGTGGAGACGTGAGGGGAGGCCCGCCCAAGTACAGATGGGCTTTGAGAGCTGGTCCGGGGAAACCAGCTGGGAGCCTCTGTCCTTTGTAAATCCCAGAGTTGGCTTCAGAAGCCTGAGGGGGGAGGGAGCCTGACACAGCCTTCTCCATCCCTCACAGCCTCCCCCTCCCCCCACCCCCTGCACCCTGGCTGCCCTCCACCATAGGTTCTCGGGAGGGGCACAGACCTTCTGGTCCCTGGTTATGAATGTCCCCATCTCCACCTCCATCTGGCCCAGTGAGTTCTGAGATTAAAGGACCATGAGAGATAAAAGCTTAGACCCAGATGTCAAAGTGAGGTTAAGAGAGTTAGACATTCAGAGAAGTTTTGACAAGTGGCAAAAGGGAAACTGAGGCAGTGGTTAGACAAGGAAGGCCAAACAATTTGAATAACTTACAGCCAGCTAGTAAATCACAATATCTTATCCTCCCCCACCAACGACACTTGAGAGCAAATGGCTTACACCTCTCCTCCCTAACCAGAGAGTAAATAATTTAAATCACCCTGGTCTGCGAGATAGATAACAGAGACCCAATTACTGCCATTTGTGCCAACCATACCCAAGGACAGATGAAGTCAGGGGAACACATAACAAAAGACCCAATTAGTACCAAAGTCAACATAAAGCTGACCAGAAAATGACCTTGGTCCCTCTACTTGCTCATTGTGGTGCATCAATATATTAAAGGACACACCTGGGAAGCTAATGAATACTCTGCTGAGACCCTCCCCTAGGACCGCTCATAGGATTCCCGCCTTTAGAAAACAGATAAGAACCCTCAAAACAAAGGACCCAGCATGCTCTCCTTGGAGCATGACCATGCCTCTCCTTTTCTGGGGTGTGTACTTCTGCTTTCTTTCTCCTAAACTCTAGGGAACTTCATGAGACTTGCAACCAGGGGAGCTGTGGGCAGTGGCAGCTCATCCCTGGCTAAACCCCTGAACCTGTCACCAAGGTCCCCTTTTCTCTGACATTTCAGTGAGCTAACAGCAACTCCACCTCCTTCCTTCCATGGCTCACTTCCTTCACTGTGACTTTTCTTTCTCAGGGAGTCCACGCAGCCCAGCGTGGCTCACTTCTTTCCTACAATGTTCCTAGGGAACCAAAGCAGCCCCTTGCAGGTTCCCTCCTGTTGCTTCTTCTACCCCAAGCCCTTCCTTTGTTTCACTGCCCCCGGTTTTAATAAACATGCTCTCAAAATCACCTGGACTCATGTTGAGAAATCTTTGCTGCACGAAGTCAAGAACCCACACACTAGAGGCCGGCCCAAGGCAGATCCACTCAGGGCCAGGTCCATTTCTGTGACAAAAGGGCCTCCATGGACAGTCTGGATAAGGTGCCCGGAACATCTGCTTACTTAACTTACAGGGAAAGCTGAGGGGAGCAAATGTCAACCAGCCAGATGAGCAAGAGTCCTATCATCCCTGCCCCTAATGCTCCTCCTTCACCCACCCCAATCCTTCCCATCCTTCGGCCCCCAGTTTCCTTCCCAGCAGCCACCTTGTCCTGATCACCCAGGTCGCGGGGCTTCACCAACCGTCCACGTCATTCCTCTCCCCCTTTATTGACACCCAGCACTGTGAGTTACTTTCTTTGGTGTCTACAATTGCTCCAACTTGTGCTACATATAAGCTCCCTCAGGTCCTTGTAATCCCCCCCAAATTTCTACTATTCAGAGAAGGCATTCCCATACATGTGGGCCAAATAACTCATCTTTAAATAAGAAATCTAAACCACGCAATTTAAGAAAACGTGACACCCA